GTAATCCACCCACCTCAGCCTCCCAAAGTGCTGGGATTACAGGCGTGAGCCACCATGCCCGGCTGCATCCAGTCTTTAACGATTAAGTTTGATACTGTCTGTAGGTTTTTTTGAAGATACTGTTTATCAGGCTGAAAAAGTTCCCTTCTATTCCTAGTTTGTTGAATGTTTTTATCATGAATGGCTGTTGGATTTTGTCAGATTTTTTTCTCTGTATCTATTGAGATGATTGTGTGAGTTTTTGTTTTTACTCTATTAATATAGTATATTATACTAAGTGATTTTCAGATGTTAAACCGCCCTTGCATTCCTGGGATAAAATCCACTTGGCCATAGTATATAGTCATTTTCATGTTAGAATATTCAATTTACTAGTATTTTGTTGAGGATTTTTGTATCTATAAGAAATAGTGATCTATAGTTTTCTTGTAATGTCTTTGACTGCTATTGCATCAGGGCCTCATAGAATGAGTTGGGAAGCGTTCCAGCCTCTTCTGATTTTTTGAAGTGTTTGTGAAGAATTGGTATTAATTCTTCTTTAAGTGTTTGGTAGAATTCACCAGTGAAGTCATCTGGGCCTGGGCTTTTCTTTGTGGGAAGTTTCTTCTTCTAATGAATCTCATTACCTATTTTCATCTATTTAGATTGTCTATTTCTTCTTGAGCCAGTTTCATTTTTTGTGTCATTCTAGGAATTTGTATATTTAAATTGTCTAATTTAGTCACATATAATTGTTCCTAGTATTCCTTTATGATCCTTTTTATTTCTGTAAGCTTAATAGTAATATTCCCTCTTTCATTTCTGATTACATTAATATGATTTTCCTTCCCTCTGTCCCCTCCCCTCCTTTTTTTTTTTTTTTTTTTTTTGGTCTCTTTAAAGAATCAGCTTTCTGTTTCGTTGATTTTTCTCTATTGCTTTGCTATTCTCTATTTCATTAATGTTCACTCTAATCTTTACTGTTTCCTTCCTTTGGCTTGCTTTAGGTTTAGGTTGCTCTTTTTTTTTTTTTTCCAGTGCCTTAAGGTGGAAGATTAGGTTATTTATTTAAGATCTTTCTTTTTTGAAAGTGTAGGTATTTGCAGCCAGAAAAAATTCCTCTTAATATTGCTTACCATAAATTTTGGTATGTTATGTCTTTATTTTCGTTCATCTCAAATATTTTGGAATTTTGCTTTTGATTTCTTTTTGATCCATTGGTTTTAGGAATGTGTTGTTAAATTTCTGCTTATTTGTGAGTTTCCCGGTTAATTTCTGTTTCTGATATTAATTATTAATTTAATTCCACTATGCTTAGAGAATATATTTTGTATTATTTCTGTTCTTTTACATTTATTGAGGTTTGTTTGGCCGGGCGTGGTGGCTCAAGCCTGTAATCCCAGCACTTTGGGAGGCCGAGACAGGCGGATCACGAGGTCAGGAGATCAAGACCATCC